GTTTAGGAGTGAACCAAGCGCATGATGGTACCATGATATTTTTTAATGAGCTGTGGCATTATATTGTTTTCTTGAATAAATATATAATAAAAGAAAATTGAATTTAATTGGAAGTAATAAATTCTAAGCTTCAGCTTTGATCGTTTTATTATGGATATGTTAAGATCTTGCAAGATTTTGCTTTAGACTTTTACCTGTTTAATGCTTATTCACGTTTTTTTTTTTTTAATTTATTTAAAACATATTCATCTTGAGAAATCGCACCTTTGTACTGTCGTAAATTTACCAGCTTGAGTGATTTTAATTCTATATGCATTTCTGGTATATACTTTTGTAATGCTATATAAATATTAATGAGAGCGCATTGCTTTGACCCACTGTGCAACGCTCTCGATGCTTTGAATTGTATACAATCGTGTAGCCAATGCGATGAGGTTTCTTGGAGGCGCCCCCACATTGACATAATGAGAAAGAAGAGAACAGACAGCTTACACACACACGCAGACACGGACAAATCAACAAGAAACAATGTTCTTAGTTAAAGTTGTTCAATTTTTATTTATTGTTTATTATTGTTTGTCCGTGTGCCGTTATCAAGCACACAATTAAAACATTCTTAAATGTGTGTACATACAAACACTCATATATGTATCTATATATATATTTATACTATATATAGGTTTGTAAGTGGAATGTAAGTTAAAGGCACAGGTAAAAGCGAGGGCAAAAAGAAAACAACAAAGTGATGTCCCAAAATGTAGAAATAAGATAATATATAACAACAACAAACCTGTTCCACCGCGCACCGCGTACGTCGTGGTCGCCTGCATCGATGAACTGGTGCCTGAACCCGCGCCGCCGGCTCCACTGGTTTTTGTGAATTTTAAGAGCATTGTGTTGATCCGTGTTTGCCGCTGCTGATGTTGTTGTTGATGTTGTTGTTGTTGCTGGTGCTGCTGCTGCTGCTGTTGCTCTTATTTCGTCTCCAAACAAACGCAGCAAGCACAAAACAGAATAACAAAACAAAAACAAAAACGAAACAAAACAAAAAACCACTAGGCACCAAAATGTAGCGTAATTTCACTTTATAGTTATTTATTTGTTTGTATATTTGTCTTTATGTATGTGTAGCTGCGGCTGCTGCTGTTTGATCCAACAGGCTAACGGTAACTGTCAAAACGGAGACAAGGCCCAAAGTCCGAAAGAAGAAAACGTCAGCGACAGCGGGGTTTTGTCTATTTATTGCTATTTTTAGTAACAATTTTTTATTTCCTCTCTTTCTCTCTCTATTGACACAGGGACAACGACGAAGAAAATCGCGCCTGCCGTTTCGGTAGTTCGTTTAGTTGCCTCCTTTCGCTTCACTCTACATTTATCAATTTTATCAATTATATTATTGTTCACTGTTTCACAAGCTGCTGCTGCTTCTGTTCACGTTATTGTTATTATTGTTGTGTTGGTTTTTTTTTTCTATGCTTCGCTCATATGTTTATACACGCGTTGCGCGTTTGTGTGTGTGCGTTGATTTTTTTTAGGTATGTGTGTTGGAAATTTGTTTAAATTACGTTTTAATCTAGCTTGCGGTGCATGCATTTTATGCTTTAACATGCCCGTTTCCAGCGTATAAGTTTTGTAAATTAACACACGTTTTGCACTTGAAAAAAAAAACATAAATACTTGGACAAATTCTAGTACGACGCTGGCCCATTTGCATTCAACTGGTTGAACGGCGTTGCCGGATCCCCAACAGTCAACCATGTGCCAGGGCTGAGCAGGCAAACAAGCTATCGATAAGTTGCCCTGACACCGATAACCAACTGACTGGCTGGCAGCCTTTCCAGTAGTTGGCAATGCAAATTTAAAAAATAAAAATAAAACTAAAAAAAAAAGAACAACATTTTATTGGAAACAACAACAAAATACAGGCGAGTGTGATTTAATTACACAATCCAATGCATATTTATTAATGCAATTGCCCAGTATAATGCCGGATAAATTGTCTGTGGTGCCATCGCTAAGTTTATACGGGGCAATTGCAATCGGGGAGCGTGGCACGGATAAGATAATTCCGAGTCAGCGATAATTTCCTGATAAACAATAAACAACAAAGAGAGACTGACTTAATTCGTTTTCCAGCGCATGTATTATTAAGAACAGAAGCTAGTCAAATTTCGAGTGAGTGTCAAGCATGTGTGTCATATTCTTCTATGCCAACTCGCAGCCCAATGCCAATGGCTATAAACTCATCTTGGCCTCCAATCGCGACGAGTTCTTTGCCCGCGATACGCAAACGGCAGCCAAATGGTCAAATGGCGATCACGTCTATGGCGGTGAGTGCTATCTACAAAGGTCAATCACACCTCATTGTTGTCACATATAATAAAATATATCTATTTTTGTAGGCATTGATCTGGAACCAGGACGTGAGGGCGGCACTTGGCTGGCTATTGGCGGTGGGAAGGGCGTCTTCAAAGTGGGGGCTCTGCTCAATCTAACTGGCGAGCCAAAGCCTCGCAATGCAGTCGGTAAACACAACACACACACATACTCTCAGACATACACTCATACGCACACACACTCAAAGTTAAGCCAGTAGCATCGGCTCCATTAATCCCATCCTATATTCCTTCATAAATTTATAACCCACGAAATCTTTTTGTTTCGAAGCGCACAAAAACATTTTGCAACCGCATAATAATACCAAGAACAGCTGCCAAGAGCATAAAGAACGCCACACAAATAACGAACATTTCTTATTAGGACGCGGCATGATCGTAGCTGACTATGTGCGTCAAACGGATATTGAACACAATATTGAAAATTACAATCAAAGTCTGCTGGCGGACTGCACCAAGTATAGTGCATTCAATTTTGTCTCCATTGAGATTGGGTAAGTGCAACGGGTTAATATATACATGTGTGTGTATATATACAAGTATACATATGTGTTTGTGTATGAGTTTAACTAGATCTGCAGCAGGCTTTCAGGCTGTCAGCTTCGTATTTGCTCGGATCCTTACTCTGTCGTTCCCCTAAGACACGATGTGAATAAGCGAGAGATCAGACTCTTCTCATCAACTCCCACTTACGCCATATTTTGCTTACTCTCACTGTTTCACTGTTGTTGCTGGGGTCTATTGCTCGCCTGCACTCGTAAGACACAATGTGATCGAGCGAGAGATCCGATCTTTCTCATTAGCACCCACATACACGACTTTTAGCTTACTCTCACTGCTCGCACTTGTTGGTCTCATGCTGCTTCTGCACGAAGTTCAGCGCATATTCCTTGCGCATGCACGCACACTCATACGTCCTGCTAATGTTTATGTGACAGTGTGCGTTAGCATTGCAACTTGTTGACAGTCAAGTGCCGTTGTTTAGTGAGAGTGCGAGCGAGCGAGGCAGCCGCGCAAATACGAAATTGAGTGGGACTAGTGCCAGCTGAGTCTAATTAGAGTTTACATTGTAATACATACTGTTTTTCTTTTTTTAGCTCTGACGGGCAGCCGGCTCAAATCAAGCTGCTGAGCAACGTGCCGCCCACGCTGTTGCCCTTCGAGCAAGGGCAGTGCTATGGATTTGGCAACAGTTTGCCCGAGTGTCCATTCGAAAAGGTCCAATACGGCCGCAAGCAATTCGAGCAGATTGTAAAGGAATTCGGCCAATCGGATGTGGAGACTCTGAGCGCCGAGCTGCTGCAGCTGCTTAAAAACAAACACAAATTCTGGCCGGATGCGGAACTGGAGCGACGTGCGCCCAGCTGGGGCGAAGGTCTGAGCGCACTCAATGTGCACATCGCCGAGCACGGCTATGGGAGTCGTACCCATTCGCTCATCCTGGTCGATGCGAACAACAAGATGCATTTCATTGAGGAGACCATGCGTGGCCTCGATCCCAGCGCCGAGTGGGAGCACACACACATCGAAAAACAATTCGAAAGCTCTTAAGAAAAGCATTTCATTCTAATTTTACAAAATACATTCGAACGGGCAGGCTGTATACTTATAGAAAAAATAGAAAACACCAAATAGTAACCTCATATGGAACTACATTAACTTACAAAATAGCGAACAAATCGTTGACGCCTTACTCTGACTCTGACTCACAAATAAAATCAACTCATTCATGTTTAAAATAAACACGAATTTTCACTGAAAAGTTGTATGAATATATCAAATTGAAGACTGTATCCAATATTAGTTAAATACTAGTTCTCTAAGGCTCATAACTATAATTTACAACTAGTAAATCTAAACGTGCTCATTTGTATATGTTTATGTAATATAACTATAAAGCAGACATGCAAATAACTAAGTTATATCTTTATAATACGCTTCAGACAGATTGTATGTAGATAAAAACTGTACAGAATGGTGCTATTAGGTGACTTGCTACTACGTTTTATATACAAATAATTAAATGATTTGTGTCACCTGACATTCGGCTGCGTCACACGACTCTAAAGACTATATAATATTATGTCTAGTCGAAATATGCGCTAAACTGGGATTCGAACCCGAGTGCTTGCTAATCCGTTTCCTAAAATATATATACATATGTATGCTCAGTACTAAAAACAAGTAAATAATAAAAATAAAACTAATATCAAAGATGCCTTGCAATAGACAATAACATTTCGAATTATTTTTTATAAGATTTACTAAAAAACTATATGTTTTAATAGTGAGCAAACTCTCCTTGGAAAAAAAAAATATATATATATTATATAGTCATACGATTCTTTATGAACAAGTTTGCCTAAACTATATACTAAGCGAATTCTCAGAAAATATAGAAAATAAAATATATATTTAGATTATAAAATCATATCGAGGAACGAGATTACCTAAACACCTCACAGTTCTCATTTATAGGCCATGTGTATATAATAATTAAATAGTTGTAAATTATGAAATATTAACATTTGTATCATTCACATGATTAAGTGCTTCAGTATATAAACATTTATATATATATATATGTGTATATGTCTGTATATGTGTTTGTGTTTTGTAAAGTTATATATAGCAAAATAACAGCGAATTATACAAGTTATTCGGTTTATCTTTATGATCCACTCCTATTGCCGCCTCTCTATTTGTAACTCTTGGCAACACGTCCGCGCTTGCCGCCGCCACCCCCAGTGCCACGCATCGCCTGCCCAGTCGCCGGTTCGCCCCCCTCGCCGCCAGCTCCACGCACTGTGCTCTTGAACTTACGCGAGTTCATTGCCCGTTTGCTGCAATCAACAAAATTTATTAGATTATTTATTTATTTATTGATTATGTCAATATTTGGCCTCTTGGTTGATTGACTTACCGTTTGTTCAGCGTATTCCGTGACAGGGGTATATAGGCATACGGATCCAATTTGCCGCGCTGCTTTATGTCGCCCTTGGCCTTTTTACTGCTGTACTCGCTGCCAGCCACTTTACTGCGCCCCCCACCCGACTTGACGGACATGGCATCTGTGCCCGTGGCATTCAGTGTACGATGTATGCCCTTGCGTGTGCTGGTGCTAGTCTTGCCGGAGCGCATGCTTAGTGCATCGCTGGCCTGCCTCTTGCGCTTGGCATTGGTTGGCTTGTGTAGATCCTCCTCATCACTGGAGTCCTCTTCCATGCCGCGCTTGGCGCCGCCGCCATTGCCCGCCTCATGGCCGCTATCAGCCGAGGAGTCATCGCTGTCGCCGTCATCATCCATTCCATCGCTCTTCTGGCCACGCAACGCCTTGTCGCTGATGATTAGACGTCCATCTTCGGCGGTCTTAAAGCCGCCATTGGGCAGCTGTGGCTTCGCCTTGGACTGCTTGCCAGTCGCAGCAGCTGTCGCAGCAGAGCCACTAGCTATAGATAAAAAGGTCACCACACATTAGAGAGTAAATCCAGTTAAGCTTAGATAATAAATCCTACTTAGCACATTGCCAATCGACTTGAGATCGGCCAAGTCGACAATCTCATCGGCATCCTCGCGTATGTAAGTGCTGCGCGGCTGCTTTGACTTGGCCTTTGATTTAGCCGAGCGATTCTTGGCAGCTGTGCCGCCCTCTTCGTCTTCCAAGTCCTCTGGCAGATCCGAGTCCGAATCAGCCAAAATGTCATCGATACTGCAAATAGTTAACTGTTGCTTTAGCACTTCATGATGGATTGGCAATGAATCTGATGACTTACGTATAGCTCTTTTGCTCAAGATCACCCACTAGCTCCTCATCGGAGCTCTCCGCCTGGGCTTCCTCGTTCTGCTTTTTACGTGTATCACGACGCATTTGTTTGCGTATCTTCTTGAGTCGGCGATGGGTTATCTCATCGTCGCCAGGCACAAAGCGCGCCAGCTCCTCCGTGGTGAAGCGCTTGCACAGCTTTTTCAGGAAGTAGCCAATTTGTATGCGGCAATAGCGTTTCGTATCCTTGGTCATGGCTGAAAGGGAGCGCATCTGCAAGAGATCAGCAATTAGAGAGACTCTAGTCAAAGCCAAAAAGATATATGAGAGCCGTCACTTACAATCGTCTCCAAGTGATTTGCTACAAGTGGTATGGGCATCACCTTAATGAATGTAATGAGAAAGGCGATGGCTGCCTCGGCCTGATTGCGCGACTTCTGCACTATGAACACGGAGACCTGCTGCAGCACAAACTCCAACGTGCTCACAGTTAGATGCTGGCCCTGCTGCTGCAGCACCGCACGGAAGGCCAGAATTGTATTGGTTATCAGTGATTCGTCACCAGTGAAGCCAGCCGTTAGGATGTCCACAAACTCATTGATCTTGCCGGCCTCCTGATACAGATTCGCAATCTGCTTGATGAGCAGCTCAGCCACCTGCTCCTTGCGTGTGGAGAACTCCTTATAATTGAGCACCGCCTCCGGTATGGCCTTCATCACCAGCTGATCGTTGTATGCCAACTTGCTGCGGCAATCCAGCAGTGATTTCAGGCAACTGTGCAGGGATATCAAATAGTTGAAATTATCCGAGTAATTCAATGAGATAAAAAGAGAAGTTTGGTGTGAGGGGCTGATTAGCATAGAAAGGCAGACAGACAGAGCGAAATGGTTATAGTTCCTATATACAAAATAGGTATACAAATCAGATATGTAAATGTGCTCTGGTGGGCAGTGTACGACTAGGAGATACCTGGAGCACGGACCGATTTCTTTAATAACTTCTGTTTGACTAAACCGATTTTAATGAAACTTGCATTGCATATCAACTACATATTCTATTGAATAATTTCCAATTTCTAACTCATAATTGCAACTGATCTATAATTCAAAGTGTTATAAACTAGATGCAAAACTTTGTAAATGCAAGTTTCAAAGAAGTTCGAAATACAATTTAATTGAATTTCGGTGCAGACTTTGTTCGATACCACTAAAGTGGAATTAGTTATAGAATTTTTGAAATAAACATGATCTGCGCGTGTTATATAGATATCTACATAAAGAAGTTCAAGTTAACATCTCTTATAAGTTTCGAGATCATCGCATTAATATATATACAGACAGCCGGACGGATATGATTATATCGACTCAGCTTGTCGTTCTAATCCAGGACTATGAATATGCTTAATGGGGACTGATATGTCAGCTTCTGTCAGGGTGAATTCAGTGTAAAATCTATTTAGTTCATCCCCATTGGTTTCATCACATTATTGGTGCATCATAACTTACTATAAACGTGACGCCTGACAGACGCTGCATGTGGTATTGAAAGCATCGAGCAGAATCTGTTGCAATAAAATGCAATTTTTACGCGTGAATTTCTGGCATGAAGGCAGCTCTGAGGTCATCAGTTCGCGCAGCAATCTAGAATGATAACAAATGTGAATAAATACCCTGTAAATGATTGCAATGGGTATGCCGCTACTCACTCGTATGTCTTGCGCTGCTGTTTCTTCATCTTCTGCTCGTCGCGTGATACCAGTTTGGATTTGTCGTTGCGCAGCACGGGCGCCATATACTTCTCGAAGTAGGCCTCGATGCCGCGACACTTTTGGACCCGGACAATGGCCGCATTGATGTCAAAGTAGGAGTCGTATTCGAAGCTGGCTACTGCGCTGCCCGCCAACAGGCCTTGGGCAGTCTCGAAGAGCTGCGCTTGCACTTCGGCCGGAGCACGTGCGATATAGGCACGGATGACGGCCAGAGCACGCTTGCGTTGCTCCCCCTCGTAGCTGGTATTGGGCTTCTGTGTGTAGATGTTGAAGAGGCGCGGCAGAAAGTTGCGCGCATATTGCCCCATAATCGCATGGCATTCCGGACTCTGACTATCATCCAGAAGCTCCAGCAAGGCATCGTAGATGGGCGAACGGAACTCTGTATTGTGCTCCAAGGCATCGCCCAGGGTTGGCGCCAGCTTGCGCAAATATTCCGGATCCCGTGGCTGCCGACAGAAGCCGGGTAGCAGACCCCACAGCTGACAGCATAGCAGCTCATAGATGTGTGCCTTGGACACCGCCTTCCCCGACTGCAAGTGCTTGCGCCAATGCGACTGACTATTCAGAGCCAGTGGTAGAATGTGCTCCATGAAAAATTGCAAGCTCGCCCCAGTGGCACCCTCGCGCATCAGCGGTAACAGCCACGATCGCTCCAGGCTCACATCGCCGTTCGCATCGCTCAGTGGCAGAGCACGTAGAACCAGCTCCGGACCAAGCGCCTTGATGGCGCTGATCACCGTGTGCTCGATCTGCAGACGCAAGGCGCCGTGGCTATCATAACGTTTGCCAATCGTTGTCAGCGAGGGCATCAATTCGGATCTGGATAAACAAAACAGGCAATTGGTATGTAAGTATGTGAAGAAACTCTGGTCGGGATATCTGACTAGCATATACCCTACATCTCGAATTATATCAAAATATAACGAAAATGGAAATTATATCAAATAGACGTAGTTATATACAAACTTTAAACACTAGTTTTCAAGATGTACGAAATAGACTTTAATAACGGAATAGCTATTGGTTTTCTATCAACAATGAAGAAATTCTCTCGCTCTTATAGGTTCCGAGATCGTTGCGTTTATACATAAGGACAAAAAGGTAGACGGATGGACGAAGAGGGTTAGATCGACTTAGTTGATCAGGAATATATTTATATACTTAATGGATCTAATGGATCTTCCCTTTCTATACATTTCAACAGAACCAGTATACCCCGATTTCCTATTTTCAATGGGTTCAGAGACCCCTAAATCCTATCTCATTTAAATGGACTCATCGTATGAAAAGTAGGAGTCAATGGTAACTGGAGTTTGCACGCTTTAAAGCTTTGGATAATCTTACTCACCCAAACTGTTTGCCGCACGCCTCGAACACAATGGAGAATATGAGAATAACATATTTGGAGATCTCGCCAAACGGTGAATTCAGCACCTTGTGCAGAGCGCCAATTATTTTTATCACAGACGGGCGATATTGATCGGCCAGTTCCTTTGTGGCACAGGCGCGTGCCACACAATCCTGCAGCAACTCCTTAATGCAATTGGAGACGCCTACCACCAGTTCGGTGCGCTCTGACAGCCAAAGATCCGTGGTGCAGATCTCGAAGAGACGCGGAAGCGCTTGCATGCACAAGTCCAATTGCAGGGTGGCCAGATGCAAATGGCCCTCCTTGAGCACTGTGATCCAGGCCAGCGTTTGGCGCACATCATTGCGATCTGGCCGATATTCGTGTATGGCGGCCAGCAGCTTGGCGCACAATGTCGCATTCAGATTAGCGCTACGCGTCAGGAAGAGGGTGTGCAGAGCCTGAAAACAGTTGGTTCTCACAAGGATGTTGGCCGCTGTCATTATGGAGAGCAGATTCTCGCACACGCTGCGTATGTCCTCGGTGCGGAAGCCAGCCAACGTATCCTTCAGCAATGACAGCGTATGCAGTACTGTCGTCTGGCTGTTGGCCAACACTTCGGGTTTGAACTGGGCCAAACAGAATTTCGTTACACGATTGCTAGCCGGATGATACTTGATCTTCGATGTCTGTGGCTGTTCCTCCTTAGCATCCGCTGCCGCCTCGCCCTCGCCGGCAGTCGGTGGCAGCATGAAGCAGCTGCCATGTATGATGGAGACGATGGCATGCTGGGCCGCTTTGCGTATTTTCGGCTTCGAGTGGATGGTAAAGGCGAGCAGCGCATCGAAATACTGCAACGTGGAGCTGTACGTCCATGTGACATAGTCCTGGGCACGCAACAGCACGGACATGCAGCCAATTAACTGAAATGGAAATAATATTTATTAAATCATATTCTGCAACGGGTATTATGCAATGGCTTACATAGCGAATGACAGATTGACTGCTCGATTCAATGAAGCGTTGCAGCAGCTGCTGCAGTGTTTCGGCGGTTTCGGAGAAACGTTTCCGCAGCACCGGCGCCGGCACAGATTTAATGCCCATGGATAGCAAAGCAACGCCGGCAATGATGTCGCGCTCCTCGGTGGCCGCCTCGATTTGGCTGATGAGGAGCAGAAAGTATTCAGTGGAAGATTCGTTGCCGCCACGTTCGCGTATTATTTCTGTCAATGCGCTCAAAATGGCCAACATCTCCTTGTGCAGATCGGAGGAGGCACGAAAGCCGGTCAGCAGCTTCTTGAAGCTAACATTACTGCAGCTGCTGTAGTTGGAGGCGAAGGTCTGAAAGGTCTTGACGGTGCTTGGCTGTGTGCCGGTGCCCGACATTCCATCATCGTCCTCCAGTGTAAAAGACTTCAGGCTACCGGCGACATCATTTACCGTTGTTGTCTCCGCATTGTAGGCCTGACGCTGTTCGTGCTTGTGCACGGCCTCCATGGTGAGTCCATTAGTTGAGCTCGCTGCAGCTGTATATTATGGTAACGCATATGTATATCAATCAATATTTAATATCATGTGTGGCGCCTCGTACTCGACTTACTCAGATTTAAATTTGGTTGGAAAAAGCGCGACTTTGCTTTAAGACGATGTTTCATTTGCTCGGGATTCGATACAGCCGATTGGCCTTTACTCCAGCTTTTGCCTTTACCATGGCGTTTCAATTTCGAACGAAATTTACCCATTTTCAGAGAATGTTAGTGCGACGCACTACTCACAAAACTTCTATTTAAATTGCCAAAACGAACACGTGCAGCTCAACCAACACAGAGCAACATATTTTGATAGTATCGTAATTTTGCTATCGATATTTTGCGGACGGACTATCGACTATCGGGGCTGATAGACACACCAGATGAGCTCGCCGAGCAGCTGATCAGCCTGGGGGGCCTGAGCGTTGCCAGCTGTTTGTGCGCCAAATGTGCGTCATCGATAGTGTCATCGATATGGGCCCAACACAACAATGTAAACAAATAGCTCGCTCTCGTGCAATACTTTGGGGCTCACTAGCTAATATTATTAAGTTAAAGATCAGCTAACCGCAAGATACCCCGCAATACAAACACAATGTGGCAGACGCTGCTCGGCCTCAGTTGTCTATGAAGCAAGCGGACGGGCGAGCAGCAAGGCAAAACAATACAAGCTATAGCGAAAGCAACGTAATAAGAACATAATAACAACAATGAAGCAAGTTCATTTCATTAAGTATACATATGTAAATGTTTAACGGACCCAAACGCCAACGAGCCATCGAGCAGCAGTAATGAGTTACCATCGTTTAAATGAGCACAACACAAACAGTAGAAACCAAACGAACATTAACAATAAACCAAACAACAACAACAACAAYAATAATCAAAACAACACCTGAGTTCGAGAGACAACCACATCAACAGCAACAGCAGCAACAGCAACAGCAACAATAACAACCCACAGCGACGTGAGCCGGTGAGAACGTGAACCCACCACACCACGCACAGTCCCAATTCCAAAAAGAAAGAAAAAAAAAAAAAGAAAAAAAGAAGTAAGCAAGCCCAAACAAATAAAGAAAGCAAGTGAAAATTTGGGACAACATTTGCAAGTCGTTGGCCAACAAAACCTACAGCAACAACAACAGCAATCAGTAGAACAAAAATCACACAAAGAAACAGAACAAAACTCCGCCTTATCCATGAAACCTCATCCATAAACAGCCGCTAACAAAATACCTCAAAAATGGACATATTTATCAATTTCATAAAGAATCCACAAACTATACTGTGTAAGTACTCAAATTTATCTAAATATTTAAATGTGTATGTATATGTATATATGCAATGAAACACATATCTTATGTACAAATACACGTATATATACATATATCATCCATTATATATATACATATACATATATACATATAATGTCTTTCACTTTTGCATATTTAAAATTTTTTATTTTTTTGCCAAGTTTTTAATTATGCAAATTCGTTTCTTTGAGTGAACAAATTAAGCGAAAGTTCAGCTTGAATTTAAACTTTGTTCTTTGCCCAAATAAGTGAATTATTAACTTTCCACTGCCAACAGCGAAATAGACATGAAATAAAAAAAGTCCAATGGCATAAATTATTATTGTCAATATTTTTTTCTGTTTAATGCATACAATATTTATACCGAATCC